ACATTAAAAAAAAAAAAAAAAAGTGAGTAGCAGAGTACCGGCTGCTCACTGAACCGAGAACATCAGAACAGTTGGGAAGACCACCACTGCCGCCAATGTACACATCATGCACCATGGTGTGGCAGCTTAGCCATTAGAAAACTCAGAAACAAGCAGTCTACCTTCTTTAAATCAAAAGAACTCTACGTAATGAGATGCTTCCTCTTTTCTTAGAAGAATTGTTAAAAATTACATCTCTAGTCCATGTATTAGAAATTTTGAGGACAGTTAGTTTTCCACTATATTCTGCACTGTAGATATTAAAGTACAAAAAAACCCAGAACAAAACAGTGAAATCACGTTCAGTGATTATTATAAAGCTTGGACACTCACCACAACTGCTTGATAGAACCATCTGCCTTCTTTTTAAGGTTATTCAATGATTAATTCAGCTATGTGGCTGGCATGTGGTGTATTATACTGTCATTATAAAGACCAAGGAGTAGCAAATTAGCACTTAAATTGTTAATTTAATTTACTCTTAACATTAAAGAATTATGTTATTGTATGAGTAACTAGCAATTAAACTTTAAAATTAAAGATATAACTGATTTGGAAAACAAATTTATCCTGTTCTAGACTCATATATGCTAACAACATCTATTGTAAAACCTGTTTAGACTAAACCAGTGCTTGGAATATTTGGAAACTAAAAATATAACAGGCATTCACTCACCTTTTGTAAGGTCACAGTGTACTGTTCCCATATCAGCTCTTCCATGCCTGGGGCCTGTTGCACACAGAAACCAATTAGTAAAACACAAAGCATACAACTATCTAAATTAAAATGTGAAACACTGCATTAAAAAACAGGTATAAAAATAATATGTGTATTCTAATAATTTGGTAGAGTTAGTATGAAATATATGTATTTCAACTAATGAGGATTTTTTCTTTAAAAGGGAAAAAAATATTAATAGGTTGTAGAATCCCTTCACATCTCGCAAATTTAACAGCTCACTTTGATTTTCTGGAAAAGTCTCACTCAGCAAAAGCATTTAATTTGGATCACAGTAGCATTACATAGCTCCCATTCCAATAACACACAAAATACTTAAGGAAGATCTCTCTATTACAATACACAATAAGATTAGCAGTTGAAACTGAGGTTTTCAAAATAAACTAGCCTTCAAATCTTCTGCTTCTTGTTCATGTGGATTTAACAGAATGTTTTGTCCATTACAAATTATGTAACTGAGTATTTAGGTTCCCCTCAAGAAATTAAATTTTACAGGAAAACACAGTGTATGACTATATAGCACCAGTATATCCATTTCTGTGACACATTCCAGAAACATTTTTTTTCCCACATTTCCAGTTAAAAACTGATCTTCAACTGATCAGTTTACCTTGCATGATATAACCTGAAATCTTTCCAGCATCACAGCTTAAAATATAATGCACACTAGTCACCCAGCTGTGATGCATCATATAGTACACAGCCAGGCACTTCAGTGCCTCCCCTGTAAAATGACAAGAAAAGTAAGGCACGATATTTGACACACTGCAAACATTTCAAAGTATACATTGCAGAAGAAAAATCCAGGCATTGCATGAGTATGTGCACACACATACTCAAGCCATAGGTTTATTTGGTTTTACTGCTAAAAGTGGTCTTCCTTCTTGGGAAGCTAAGAGTTTGTTCAGAAAACTGAAGTTCAGACTGAAGCTCAGTTTTGACTTAACAGTCTTTTTAAAAGCATTAAAGGGATTACTGGCAACTAAACTCCAAAACAACAGGGAAGTGACACAAGAAGGGTCTGCCTGTACTTTAAAGCATACCCTGTCTTTCCAGAATAAAAGTCTTCTGGCAGTACACAGCTGTTTAGCAATCTATGGATGATGTTTCTCAAATTCAAAGAACCCCATGATGTATTCTTCCAGTAGATTCTGAGCACCCTGAAGAGGAACTAGATTTACATTTTCCAATGCACATTCACTGTACTGAAAATGAAACTTAAAATGTTAAATTCTGCTCAAGAGTTCCCGAGGGAATACACAAAACATTCAGCATTCTTATAAGGAATTTTACAACACTGAAGAGTGTTAAAGTTTCTACTGTTCTCCCAGAAAATGAACAATGCTCACCAGTTTCCAGAATCTTTTGGGTCCAATTAAAAAATGATATAAAATAGCTGGAGGATGACATACTAAAAATAATACAAGTAAATAGTTCTAAATTTCTACTCATCTAGATCAGACAAGAATGATTGGCATTTATAACTGTCAGTATTAAAACACATTTGTCTTGAGTCAGTGAACTACTCTGCTGAAGCACATGGTAAAATTATTTTCTCTGATATTCCCATTTAACCAGCTGTCAGGTCTAACACTTCAAATTAGTTGACACTGAACTATCTCAAAACATCTACTCCCTTACACAGAGAACCTTCCATAAGTAAAAAACTTCTTCTTAACGAAGCACTTCTTCTGAGCTGCTGTGATGATGCAGTAAATAGAAGTGACTAAGCTTGCTTGTCTGGCATGTATGAAAATGTGTAAATAGTTTACCTACTACTGACCCTTGGCTGCACCACCACTGATCTGCTTTTCTATATGATATTTTTAAGCTTCCCAGAAAACCAGTCTGGGCTAAAGAAGGGCCTAGTGTAATTTAAATTCCAGTTGACCTCAGAGAAGAAAGTTTTAGAAATGAAAGACGGTATCAAATGAGGGTAAAATCTGAAGGACAAACAAGTGGGTTCAAATTTTGTAAATGCAGGGGAGATAAAGTCTATTCCATCCTTCCCACTGTATAAAACCTTAACAACTTAACACGTGTAACAAGAACACTTCAGTTGAGTCTGCACTGTACGCTGTTCTTGCCAGTGCTACTTCCCAGCCTAGAATACTGAGTCCCCTTCTATGCAGTCAAAATAGCAAGGCAGGCAGGAAACAATCGACCAGAGCTTACTATTTGTGTGGACAAAGAACAACATAGTTGCCTTACTCTTCCTGAAACTCTTAACACCAGCTCTTTCAATACACTACCTGCTAAAGAAAGGCCTGCTTATTCAGTCCAACACCGCAGAAAAAGGACTGAGGAAAGCAAAGATATTTGAGATGGATTTATGGGCGTGAAATACGTAAGTTTAAAGAAATTTCCTTCCAGAAAACTAGGCCTCCCATGAGCAGTGGCACAAGTAAAACCTTGTACACAATCAGAGATGCACTGTGTAGTAAATCAAAGCATTGTAAACTAACAGGGTTAAATTTATTTTGCTCTATTTGTCTTCCGATACCTGGTCATAAAAAATAGTGATAAGAATGGAAGAGAAATCACTGCATGCAGACACTACATTTAAGGTTTTGCAAGATGTTGAGCCTACAGTATCATCTCATCTGTGCCTAGAAAAAGTTCCTCATAGTATCAGTGGCTCTCTTGGGTACTTCTGTGTAAATTCTGAGTTTATTTTTGTCTTGGAACTGTTACTGAACATTAAACAAAAGCTAATTAAGTAATTCATTTCTAAATTCACAAGTATTTGTTGAAGTAATACATTTTTAGAAATTGTCTCCCATTTGGTGTATGCTATATTAGTGAAGGAAAGTACATACTTGCAAAGCTGATTTTGTGCAACATAACTACCAAGACAACAGGACTAGTTCTGCCATAGTGATAAAACTATGAGGGCTCTGTAACAGAGTCCATAGAACTGAATGGTCACCTTAGAAGCTCAAAAGGCACAGAATACATCTGCACTCCCACAAATCTCTAAGCAATAATCTTTTTAACATTATAAAATGTACTGCTGCTTGCCATTGCCATGATGCTAACCCATACTGACAAATTCATGGAGAAGATTGAGAGGGAGGGAGAGACTACAAAAAATTATCAGTTGAGGACTTGGTCAAAGCTAAAATTGAAGTCTCCACTATAATTGCAAAATTGCTGTATTCCATATCTAATAACATGACTCTTTCTCTGCATCAGGTGATGGGTTACAAAAAGCCTCAATTGACTTGCTAATCTCTTCATACTTCATCTATAAGGAAACACAAAGGGATCCTGAGCAGCCTGTGCATCCCTTTATAGGATCACAATTTCACTGCAAGATCGCACAGCAAAACACTGGAGAAATGAAGGCAGAATGGTTAAGAATCCCATGTCCAGCTACTAACGGTAACTGTTTTGCAAGTCTACCCAGGTTTTACACAGATAGCAGGCTACCTGCAGTAAATGCAAATTACTGTAATTAGCTAGTCTGAATTAATTAGTGACTAAAGACAGTCCATTTCTAATTAGAACAATGTAGTCAGGATTTGCTTAAATCTGCCTAATGCTCATATACCAAAATGAAAGGTGCTTTCTACATAACGAAAATAGACTGCTTAACAGAATCTTTGGCAGGAAACTGATCAAAGTGCTAAAATCCTCTCTGTGGTATGAACAGGCAGCTGTTCCAACTCTCACTGACAGTCATCAGAGACTTATGCAACTACTTGTTACTGAGAGATCACTGAAGACAACTTCATTCACACTGAAAGAAGTACAAAACCAGAAGACCTGCCACAACAGTTGTCTGGCTATAGAAGTCAGTTGGAGAGGGGAGGGATATATGGGGGAGGAGGGGTTGGGGAAGAAAAAAGCTTGGAGCAAGATGTAAAAAAAAAAAAGCAACTCACGTGCCCTTTCAAAATCCCCAACTTTTTGACTGCATGTGACCACATTCTCTGCAGAGCTTGAGCTGTCTTCATTGTTGCAGGATATAATCTGTGAGCGGACGCAGTACATCCCTGTCTTTTCATCTGTTCCCACCACTCAACACTGTTATGTAATTCTAATACAATAGTGGCCTACATACTCGAACAAATCCTGCCGTCAGTTTCACACAGAAACACATCAAAACCACAGTAGTGAAATCTAACAGGAGTTTAATCCTCACTTTAAGAGATCCCAGGAAAAAAGCAGTACTGTAATCTTCCTTTTTTTAAAAAAAAAAAAAATTGTCTGATACAGATCAATATTGTAGCAAGTTATTCTTCCAAGCACATATGTGTTCACCCCACCAGGAACCTACTTGGAACTCTAAAGAAAAAAGGCTTAAGAAGCACAATACAGATTATTAGAAGTTTCACATTCTGACTATAATATAGTAAAAATTATCACTTGACTCCATTATCTTGAGTAACACTGTGGTTTAGCAGCCTCTATCAAATCTTGACAATTTAACTGCTGAATCTGGGAAGTCCTTATGCAGCAGCAGCTGTATACATGTGAGCAATCCCTTCAACTGCATGTGTAAAATTACATATAAACACTTGCAGCACTGTGGATTTAGCTCCAGCAAACAGTCACAAACAACAGATATTCCTTCTGCCCTCCAACATTTAGTAAGGTATGTGTAAGAATGATAAACTAATCATACAGCCAAACAGATTACTTTATTGAAAAATAGGTCAAGCTATCAGCTCCATCTATGTTGCATGAATGCTGTGAAATTTAAGCCTTAAGTGAACTTTTCTCCTGGACTTTATATAGTTTCACAGGCAGCGAACAGATAAGAATACATGCCAAATTCAGTACACAATTCCAACCAAAACCGCCATCTGTAAATTTTTCATTAGTGAAACAATTTTAACTGCTGAAGAACAGCAGCAGAAAATGTGGAGGGTTGGGGGTTTTTTGGAGGGGCGGGGGGTATGGTGTTTTGTGGGGTTGTTTTTTGTTTTTTTTTTTTTTTTGTTTGTTTGGGGTTTGGTTTGGTTTTTTTTTTTACGTTTTTTACG